GGGGGGGGGGGGGGGCCCCCCCCCCCCCCCCCCCCCCAAAAAAAAAAAAATTTTTTTAAAAAAGGGGGGGTTTGGGGGGGGGAAAAAAAAAATTTTTAAAAAAAAAACCCAACCAAAAAAATTCCCCGGGGGGGGGGGGAAAAAAAGGGGGGAAAAAGGAAAAAAAATTTTTTTTAAAAAAAAAAAAAATTTTAAAAAAAAGGGGCCCAAAAAACCCAAAAAAAGGGAAAAAAAAAAAAAAGGGGGGAAAAAAGGGGGGAAAAGAAAAAAAACGAAAAAAAAAAAAAAAGAGAAAAATAAAAAAAAAAAAGATAGAAGAAAAGAAAGAAAAAAAAAAAAAAAAAAAAAAAAAAAAAAAAAAATAAAAAAAAAAAAAAAAAAAGAAAAAAAAAAAAAAAAAAAAAAAAAAAAAATAAAAAAAAAAAAAAAAAAAAAAAAAAAAAAAAAAAAAGAGAAAAAAAAAAAAAAAAAAAGAAAAAAAAAAAAAAAAACCCCTTTTTTCCCCCCTTTTTTTGGGGCCTTTTGGGGGGGTTTTTTGGGGGGGGGGGGAAATTTTTTAAAATTTTAAAAAAAAATTTTTTGGGGGGGGGGAAACCCCGCTTTTGAATAAAGGGGGGTTTAAAAGGGGGTTTTAAAAAGGGGAAAATTAAGGGTTAAATTTTGGGGAAAAAGGGGGGGGTTTTTTTTTTTTTTTTAATTGGGAAAAATCACGGTTTTTTTTTGGGGGGTTTAAAAAAAAAAGGGGGGTTTTTGGGGGGGGGGGGTTTTTTTTTTTAAAAAAAAAAAATTTTTTTTTTTAAAAAAATTTTAGAAATTTTTTGGGGGGAAAAATTTTAAAAAAAAAAATTTTAAAAAGGAAAAAAAAAGGGGGGGGGTTTTTTTTTTTAAAAAAAGGGGGGGGGGAAAAAAAATTTTGGGGGGGGTTTAAAAAAGTTTTTTTTTAAAAAAATTTAAAAAAAAATTTTTTTTTTTTTTTTTTTTTTTTTTTTAAAAAAAAACTTTTTTTTAAAAAAACCCCCTTTTTTAAAAAGGCCCCTTTTTTTCCCCCCCCCGGGGGCCCCTTTTTTTAAAACCCCCTTTAAAAAACCCCCCCCGGGGGGGGGGAAAAAAAAAAAATTTTTGTTTTTGGAAAAAAATTTCTTTTTTTAAATTTCCCCCCCCCAAAAAATCCCCCAAATTGGGGGGGGAAAACCCCCGGGGGGTTTTGGGATTAAAAAAAAAGGGGTTTGGGGGGGGTTTTAAAAAAAAATTAATTTTTTTTGTTTTTTGCAAAAAACCCCCCCCAAACCCCCCAAAAATTTTAAGGGGAAAGGGGTTTTTTTTTTCCCCCCCAAAAATTTTTTTCCCAAAACCCCCAAAAAAAAAAAACCCCCGGTTTCCCCCCAAACCCCCCCCCCGGGAAAAAAAAGGGGGAAAAAAGGGGGGCCCCCCAAAACCCCGGGGTTTTTTTTAAAAAAAGGGGGGAAAACCAACCCCCAAATTTTTTTTTTTTGGGGGTTTTTTTTTTTGGGTTAAAAAAAAAAAGGGGGGTTTTAAAGGGGTTTTCCCTTGGGGGGTTTTAATTTTTTTTTAAAAAATTTTTTTTTTTTTTTTTAAAAAAAAATTTTTTTCAAAAAAAGGGAAAAAAAAAAAAAAAAAAAAATTTAAAAAACCCCTTTGGGGGAAAAAAAAGGGGGGAAAAAAAAAAACCCCTTTGGGGTCCTAAAACCCCAACGGGGGGGTTTTTCCCCCCCCCCCCCCCCAAAAAAAAACCCTTTTTTTTTTTTCCCCCAACCCCCAAAAAAACCCCCCCTAAAAAAAATTTTTTTTTAAAAAACCCCCCCCCTTTTTAAAAAAAAGGGCCCGGGGGGGGCCCGGCCCCCCTTTTTTTTTTTAAAAAAAATTTTTTTGGGTTTTTTTTTTTAAAATTTTTTTTTAAAAAAAAAAAAAGGGGAAAAATAAAAAAAAAAAAAAGGTTAAAAAAAAGGGGGGCCGGGGAAAGGGGGGTTTTTCCCAAAAAAGGGGGGGCCCCCCCAAAAAAATTAAAAACCCTTTAAGGGCCCCCTTTTTTTGGGGTTTTTTTGGGGGTTTTTCCTCCCCCAAAAAACCCCCGGAAAGGGAAACCCCCTTGAACCCAAAAATTTTTAAAAAAAACCCCTTTAAAAAACCCTATTTCCCTTATTGAACCCTGGGTTATTGCGTTGGCTGCAATGAAGAAAGGCAGGGGTGGTATGGGGGGTAGTATAAATGCATGGGGGGGTGGATTTTATTCCCCAACAGTGGGTATTTGGTTTTGTGTTCCTAGGAAACCAAAAAAATTGGTTCCCCCCCCGCAGAAAGGCTGACATTGCCAAAAAAACCCCTGCCCTCCCCCCAAAGCTTCCATACCCTTTACCCCAGCCACACCCCCCATGGCGAGGGAAAAAAAGAAAATCGTTTGCAGCGGACACCCCGGGGAATGAGAGTGGGGCTATGCTTACCCCGTCAGAAACTGCAGCATTTGGGACCCCCCCGGGTTTTCATGGGTGTGTTCTTTTCCGGGGGCCCCCCGGGAAGTGCCCTGGGGAAAATACTTGTTTCCTTGTGGTAAATACCCCCCTTGTTTTCTGAACAGCATGTCCCCTGATGGGAAAAGGGCAGTTTCTTGAAAGTTTTTTTTTTTTTTTTTAATTTGTAGTTTTTGGACCTTTTTATGTTTTAAAATTAAATTTCTTTAAATTTGAAAATTTAATTTGTCAGGAATGCATCAAAAAATTTATTTACAAAAGGGTTAAAAAGTTTGCGGGGCGGAATATTAGTAATTGAAAAAATTTACTAATAGGTACTAAAATTTTTTAAAGTAAAACCTAAGAGAGCCACCCAAGGGTGTCACGTAATTTTTTATTGAGAAACCCTTCCTCAGATTGGGAAACCCTAATGAAAAAACAAAAGGAAGGTTTTGGAAAACCCCCAGGCTTTACCCCCATTAAAATGTTTGAAAAAAAATTTTTATGTATACAAGAATAGTAAAATCATCAATACCCTTTTCAGTCCGGAGGAAAAGTCGTCTCTCAAACATGGACGGGTGAGAGTTACGTGTTTCAGGGGTTGTACATCAGTATAGGCCCAATTTAAATTGCATGCAATACGGCAGTCCCCTTAACTGGAAGGTGGTGTCGCAATGAAGCGTAGTACTGAGATCAGCCCAAAAAAAATAAAAGCAGTGTGGATAGGCATCCCATCTATCCACACACGCTTCTTGTGAGTACATTTAAATAAGATTTTGTATTCAATACATTTCTAATGGTGGTGTTGAACTAGGAGTTTGTTGCCTTACTAAAATGGCAATCCTAAAAAATGGCTCTGGCGTGCCTTAGCTGTTAATCTGTTCTTTAAATTTGTTTACCTTAGATTCACTAGCCCAGAACCACAGCATTTGTGGCAAGTGAAGTCATAGTGATTCTGGTTATAGTTACTTCTTCCAGGCAGTGTTCAGTATTAATGCCACAGGGCAAAAAGTTTCTCCAAAGACCTTTCTAAACAAAGGGCCAGGTTACTGTCCTTCAGACTTTAGGGGGGATCATACTGTGTCCAGTGTGAGTAGAAAATGCCCTGGCAAGTCACATATGGGAATAAAGAGACGTGGGGTTTTACCCCCAGCAATGGAATTAAAGGGTGGGTGGGGATGGCATATTGTCCTTTGTATGGTATAATGGGAAGGAATAGTGCCCCATCATTGGTGTCGGGTGAGAAAAAAAAGTACTCCATTGTTGGCGCTGTTGGGAGATAGTGCCCCATTGTTGGCGTCGGTGGGAGGAATATTGCCCCATTGTTGGCGTCAGGTGGGGAGGAATAGTGCCCCATTGTTGGCGTCGGTGGGAGGAATGGTGCCCCATTGTTGGCGTCGTGGGAGGAATGGTGCCCCATTGTTGGCGTCGGTGGGAGGAATGGTGCCCCATTGTTGGCGTCGGTGGGGAGGAATGGTGCCCCATTGTTGGAGTCGGGTGGAGGAATTGGTGCCATTGTTGTGGTGGAGGAATGGTGCCCCATTGTTGGCGTCGGTGGGAGGAATGGTGCCCCATTGTTGGCGTCGGTGGGAGGAATGGTGCCCCATTGTTGGCGTCGGTTGGAGGGAATGGTGCCCCATTGTTGGCGTCGGTGGGAGGAATGGTGCCCCATTGTTGGCGTCGGTGGGGAGGAATGGTGCCCCATTGTTGGCGTCGGTGGGGAGGAATGGTGCCCCATTGTTGGCGTCGGGGAGAATGGTGCCGCTATTGTTGGCGTCGGTGGGAAGAATGGTGCCGCATTGTTGGCGTCGGTGGGAGGAATAGTGCCCCATTGTTGGCGCCGGTGGGAGGAATAGTGCCCCATTGTTGGTATCAGTGGGAGCAATAGTTATTTGTATCAGTGTGAGAAATAGTGCCCAAAGGGCCACAATCTGGCCACACTGGTTTGGAGATCTCTGCTATAGGGCATTAGTATGGCTGCCAGGCGCTAGCATTTTTAAATGGATGTCACTAATAGCACCACACTTCTTTTCTCAGTAGAGGGTTTCTTTAACCCCTCGCCCTCCAGAGGATTTACCCCCCTTCCTGGCCAGGCCATTGTTTGCGATATACGTCGCTGCGTTACGTTAACTGACAATTGCTGTGGTCATGCAGCGTTGCGCCCAAATGAAATTACGTCCTTTTTTTCCATAAATAGAGCTATCTTTGGTGGTATTTGATCACTTATGCGTTTTTTTTTACTTTTTACGCTATTAATATAAAAAAAAGACCTCAATTTGAGGAAAAAAAAAACAATATTTTTTACTTTTTGCGATTTAAAACATGTTCAGTAAAAAAAACAATGTAACAATCAAATTTCGTCATAAATTTAAGCCAAAATGTATTCTGCGCCATGCCTTTGCTAAAAAAAAAAAAAAAAATCCCAATACATGTAAATTAATTGGTTTACATCAAAGTTTATAGCGTTTTTACAAATGGCAGTATATATACTGGATTTTTTTTTTTTTATACTAGTAATGGCGGCAATCGGCAAACTTATAGCGGGACTGCGGCAGGCATTTCTCACCTCTATGGGAACTGACTTGGTGTCACTGACATCCACAGTGACACCAATACAGTGATCAGTGCTAATAAACAGCACTGACATTGTACTAATGGCGCTGGGCAGGAAGGGTTTTAATATGAGGGGTGATCAAAGGGTTAACTGTGTGCTGTTTCACTATGGGGGCTGTGTGTGTGCTTCACTAAGCACACTGCTTTGTATGGCTGTGCTATGCAAAGCCATACAAAGCAGTGTGCAGGAGCTGACGGGAGAGATCTGTATTGTTTACATACAGGTGTCTCCCCTGTCCATGACACACAGAGATCACCGGGTGCTGGCGAGTAATCACTGGCAAGGACCCGGTGATTGACAGCTGAGGCCGCAAATGGCAGCGTGGGTAGGGAGCGCTCGACCCTACCCGGAAATGCAAAATCACATATATATATACACGTGATTTTGTGCACCCCTGCCGCCCTGTAGCATTATTTCTGCTATAGCGTGGAGGTAAGCAGTTAATGGGACATTGCTCCAGGGGCTGTGTTTCTTCCTTCAATTACTCCTTGGTTAGTCAATGAATAATACCTTTACACACTAGGACACATGCTTGTTCCATGTCAGTGATCCGCTAATTAGTGCAGAAAGCGTAGGATCATGCACCTTTAAAAGCAAGTTGGCATTGTCCTGGAAAGGTTGCACACGGCTACGTCACAAAGTTTTTCAGGTTTTTTTTTTTTTGTTTTTTTGATTTTTGTATTTTTTTTTTATTTTTTTTTTAAATCAGATTTGTTTTTTATTAATTGAAGTACACATATAATCAGACAACCACAATCTCCAACGGAGTGTGGTGTTGGTATCAACAAGTTACATCATTTATAAATATATAAAAGAGGTACAAAGTCATGTATACCGAGGATAACAATAGATTCCAGACCACAACATTTTCCAAATCCTTTTTTTTTTTTTTTTTTTTAAAAAGACAAAATAGGCTGGGAAAAAATCAGAAGGAAATTAACCACTTCAAGTCCGGACACTTTTATCCCCTTCTTGTCCAGGCTTTTAGCACTATCATACTTTTACAATTGCGCAATCATGCAACACTGTACCCATATGAATTTTTTTAGCATATTTTTTTTAGACAGATAAAACTTTATTTTGATGGTATTTATTCACCACTGGGATTTTTATTTTTTTTGCTAAACAATGAAAGTCCCAAAAATTTTGAAAAAAAAAGGTTTTTTTCTTATAAAATATTGCAAATAAATAATCTTTCTTCATAAATCTTGGCCAAAATGTATTCATCTAATTTTTTAGTAAAAAAAAAATAACCCAAATTAGTTTATAACTAAAAATTATAATTTTTCCAAAATATTTTTTCACTTTTTTTATACTATATAAATGAAAGTCCAAAAATTTTGAAAACAAAAAAAGTGTTTTCTTATAAAAGTTTGCAAATAAAGAATCTTTCTTCATAAATCTTGGCCAAAATGTATTGATCAATTTTTTTTATAAAAAAAAAAAAAACCAAATTAGTTTATAACGAAAAAGTATAATTTTTCAAAAATGTTTTTTTACATATTTTTCTTTTCTTTTTTTCTTTTTTTTAAACATACTGTCACCCTAGCAGTACAGTTTCACCATAGTGACACTGTACTACTTGTGGGGGGGTGATGAAGATTTTTTTTTTTTATTATTATTATTTTTTACTCTGATTGCTTTTACCCAAAAGCAAAAAGCAATCATTTCTCCTTCTCTCTGGCTGCATTCTTGCAGCCGTTGAGAATACTGTATGAGCTGTGATTGGTCACCGCTTATCACATGGTACAAGGCTGCTGTGAATAGCCTTGTACCATGTGATCTCTGTGATCATTCACAGATTTTCACACGTAGTAAGCAATGATGTCAGGAGTGACATCTTGCTTACTACTATTCATGTGATCACTGATTGGCCAATCAGTGATCGCATGATTGGGACCTCACACAGAAGTCCCGTACAGCGATCAGTGTTCCACTGTGTCCGGATCGTGGTGCTGCTCGCTCCCAGGGAGCACGCACAGGCTTTAAATGCGGGCTCCATTTATGAACGGCAACCCGCCCTGCACTGCTCCCGTCCGGCCGTTTATATACATGGGCCAGACAGGAAGTGGTTAATATAACACGAGTTATAAAAGCACATTCATTTTTAACAATTTAATAAAAACCAGCCGCCTTCTGAACTCACAACCTTTGTTTTTAGTACAAACCCTGTGTAGGTATTTTTTTGCCAAACCCTTTATAATTGAAAAGCGTATTGCCGCATGCAAATTAAAATGCTAAATGTGAATTTTTTCCTCCTTTCCCAGGATCGATACAGTTCCTACTAAATCATCAGGGAAGAATGTGGAGTCTACTGCTGTAGCATTTTACCCATTTACCCAGCAGACAAGGGGCTGGGGAAATCGAGGGGTCAGACGGGGAGAGAGTGACCTGCTTCTCTCCAGCGAGTGGTGATCACACCCCTTCTTTGGAGACCACCGCTTCAGTATTCCTCAAACACCACCGGATCATTTCTCCCCCGTAACACACTGTCTGCTGTCGCTTGTTCCCATCAGCTGCTCCCAACCTCTCCGGAGGATTTGCTGCTTCCCCTTCCTGCTAGGGACGCCCACAGATTGTACTTTTAATGTGTGTTGGTGTGAGCTGATCCATAGGGGGGTGTTGTGCAGGACCCCCAATAATGTTGCTGCAGACAGGATGTATACGTAACAGATGATGAATGTGCGTAGTGGACAGGATGAGTGAATGCCGTAGGAGAGGGTATTGAGAACCTCATTCAGAACCTCTAATGACTGTTACTGTCTGGATGAGGCCTCCCATCTCTCTCAATTGAGTGAAATCCTATTATGTGATTTATTAACCCCTTGTGTCCCAGCATTTCTTTTATGTGATTTTAATCCCTTTCATCTGGACTTTATTGGGACACGGAGACTATGCAGGCCTGGCATGGCAGGTGAAGCGATTAAAGAGGCTGGTTGCATGAGTATTTATTTTCACGTCTCTTGGCAGACCTGCGATTGCCGGTCATGTGTGAGGCAGGGGATGTAAATTGCCTTGAAAGCCACATACAGTGTTTACCAGATACAAGTAAATAAAAATACTGAGGCACAATGACTTTTGTATGTCCTTCTTTTTTTTTCTTTTCTTTCTTTTTTTTTTTTCTTTATTTCTCTTTTTTTTTTTTTTTTTCTTTTTTTTTTTTTTTTTTCTTTCTTTCTCTTTTTTCTGTCTTCCGGTCCAGAGGGGAACAGAGTTCTTCATATTAAAGGGTCTCTTTGGTGTGTTCTCTTAACTGGCTCAACTGAATCTGATACACTCCCTACAGACTATGTCAGCCTCTGGGGACATCCAGTCAGGCTTAGGCTCGGTTCACACCTATGCAGGTTTGTTTGAGCCGTTACTGCATTACGTTATGCGTTTTTTGCTGTGTTTTTGCTTTTATTTCCCTTTTTTTTCTTTTATTTTGTTGCTAGGAAGATTTAAAACACAAAAATGCAGCAAAAGTCCACTACATGCTTTTTTGCAGCGTTCCCATTGAAGTCTATAGAACCAAAAACGCAACTATTGGCATTCAAAAAAGTCCCCGACCCCTTCCAAAAAACACATCAGGTGAAAATGCGGAGATGTGAATGTGTCCCTTAGATTGTACGCCCCTTGAGGGTTAGGGACTGATGTGAATGTACAATATATATGTAAAGTGCTGTGTAAATTGACGGCATTATATAAGTATCTGTAATAAATAATGTCCCATAGGAAATCATGTTAAATGGACTGTACTGCGTTGCTGCAAAACGCTTAGGTGTGAACATAGGGTTAGTGAAGCCAAACTGCTATGACCTTGTATGGGCCCCAGCATTGCACAGCTGTCATTTTCCGAGCAGAGGTGATCATAATTTCATCAACCTGTGTGGATGTTGCCTCATTTGTGCACACAATAACGTGTGTATTTTGTTGATAAGGGTTCATGTTGCTAAGCCATTAAAGAGAACCTGTACTGAGAAAACTGGTTGCATTGGGGGAGTTTCTCAGAAAATCGGCAACTGGTTGCCTCTGATTTCAATACTTTGAGTCACTAACCCAAGACAAGCATGCAGCAAGTGAAATTGAATCATTGGATTTACAGTTGTGTTCAAAATAATAGCAGTGTGTTGAAAAAAGTGAATAAAGCTCAAAATCCTTCTAATAGCTTTTATTTCCATACACACAAATGCATTGGGAACACGACACATTCTGTTCCAAATCAACACATGAAGAAAAATATATCAAATTTGTGTTGTTCCTCTAAAAAAAAAATTGAAGAAAAGTGAATATTAGACTGTTCAAAAAAATAGCAGTGTTTGTATTCTTCTTTACAAACTCAAACATTCACTATAAAAACTGAAAAGTGTTTGAAGATTTTGCTTTCCTTTGAATCACTTAATGAATATTTGGTTGTAGTCGCACTGTTTCTGAGAAACTGCTGTACATCTGTGTTGCATGGAGTCACCCAACTTCTGGCCTCTGTGATCAGGTATTCCAGCCCAGGATGATTGGACCACATTCCACAGTTCTTCTCTATTTCTTGGTTTTGCCTCAGAAACTGCATTTTTGATGTCACCCCACCACAGTTTTCTATTGGATTAAGATCCGGGGATTGGGCTGGCCACTCCATAACGTCAATCTTGTTGGTCTGGAACCAAGATGTTGCACAATTACTGGTGTGTTTGGGGTCGTTGTCTTGTTGGAACACCCATTTCAAGGGCATTTTCCTCTTCAGCATAAGGCAGCATGACCTCTTCAAGTATTCTGATGTATTCAAACTGATCCATGATCCCTGGTATGCGATATATAGGCCCAACACCGTAGTATGAGAAACATCCCCATATCATGATGCTTGCACCACCATGCTTCACTGTCTTCACAGTGTACTGTGGCTTGAAAATCAGTGTTTGGGGATCGTCTGACAAACTGTCTCCAGCCACTAGACCCAAAAGGAACAATTTTACTTTCATCAGTCCACAAAATGTTGCGCCATTTCTCTTTAGGCCAGTCAATGTGCTCTTTGGCAAATTGTAACCTCTTCAGCACGTCTTTTTTTCAACAGTGGGACTTTGCGGGGCTCTTCTTGCAGATAGCTTGGCTTCACATAGGCGTCTTCTAATTGTAACAATACTCACAGGGAACTTTACACCTTCCTTCATCTTCCTAGAGCTGATTGTTGGCTGAGTCCGCGCCATCTTGGCTATTCTACTATCCATTCGAATGTAGTTTTTTTCGCTTTCTTCCACGTCTTTCAGGATTTGGTTGCCATTTTAAAGCATTTGCCATCATTTTAGCTGAGCAGCCTATCATTTCTGCACTTCTTTATATGTTTTCCCCTCTCCAATCAACTTTTTAATCAAGGTACGCTGTTCTTCTGAAC